TACTCGTTATATATATGCTTTTGTGGAGTTTCAATGTAAACATATCCATTTTTCTTGTTTTTAACGGATATTTTAGTATTACTTGTACGTATACAGCTATTAGTTTTTAGATTTCACTTGTGTTTAACTCACAAGTAACATTGTAAATGTTTGCGAAAATCTATAGAATATTTTCTTTATCTGATAGATTAATATCAGCGTTTTCAACAATCTAAATAAATGTAACCATCGCTTCCTTGAAAAATTATCTTCACAGTCTCTCTGTTTGATTTTGTACATTTGATTAACTCTGAGATTAGGTGAAAAAATTTTTGGTAGATAAAGACACAAACGATAGTAAAAATGATCCAGAAATTCTTCAAAAAACGAATTTAAGTTATGACCAATATACTTCTACGCATTTACACATCTTGAGATTTTACTTTTTAATTGAATAATGTGAATCAAGAAGTATACAGGTAGTACCGCCTGTACATATACGTCAGAAATACCATGTAGATGTTTATATTTTGAAGACATGTAATGAATAAATGAAGAATAATTAAATTAGGAACAAAACATGATTTATGGTATCCCATGTGTTAATAGATGAAGTAAATTTCAGTAAAAATTGAGAAATGAAATTATACAGAAAATTATTCATCAGGAACATATTTTTTGGAAAGACATGGACAAGGTTCGTAGTACACAAAGTTATCGTTATAGGAAAACTCTGAGTTAGCACTATTCACTTAAAAATCAACCTGTCGATAATAATGTTTAAAATAATTAAAACGTTCCAATGTGAACAATGTACACAGAAGAAAAATGTGATTATTGATGCTAGTGACCATTGTAGTATTGTTCGTGATTTCATCAAATTCAAAAAAAAGAATGCAGAAACGTATTAGATATTATTTTCATAAGTGAATAATTTATTCTGTGTACTCTGGGTAAATATCATAAAATCATCGTAAACTCTTATCAAAAGTTTCCTAAACGTTTCAATTAGGAAATTAATTCTGCCTATCGTTTTTGGACAGTGTAATAATTCGTCTGGATTAAATTTATATCAAGTGAATTAAAGCAGTATAATTATAATTAGAACTTGGAAAAGTTTAATCTTAACCAATATATGTCAAGGTCGTAGTTATTCATTTTGTTTAACTAGGTTACATTTATTCTGAATCTGAAACGAATCGACAGAAGTAATTAAACATGTTGTATGTTGATATTTTATGGTGACATTGAATGAACCTAAGATAGAAAAGTAAACAGATAAGTGTTATGCATAAATTCATGATTGTTGATTTGATTTATCAAACTATTCCCATAAGCTTAACTATAATGATGACCTAATTACGGAAAACTAACTTGTTTTCTGTCAAGTTTTAAGCCTTAAGTTGGTCAGATTCCGTCAAAATTTTTAGTTCAACAGTCGGTGGTTGACGGTTATAGTTGCTTTATATATGTATGCTTCATAAGATGTAAATCTTACGAAGACTAAGGTAATACAATCTTCAATTAACCGTGTTTGGATTGTGATGTGATATATATATATATATATATAGTAGGTTGGTGAACATTTATATTAATTTTACCATAGGCAGTTTCAAAAACGACCTTTCAATTTGGTTGTTGGCTTATAAGGACAGACTTATATCTCCAAATCCTTTGCTTATAGAAATATCCCACCTATCCTCGCATTATGCCTTGGTACTGCTGATAGTTAATGACCATTGTCATTTCAGTCCCATCATTAGTCTTTACATAGGGAAAATAATTCCACAAAAATTGAAGTAAATCTGATACAGAGTATTAATGCAGATCATTTAGATATTGATAACTCAAAAATAGTGGTGAACACCGAATCTGCATTCATAAGTATCGCAAATATTTGTTTTGATTTATCGTAAGTTTAAACTTTTAGTTAGAGGTTATTAGACGATTAACTACCGAGAGTTCCATGCACTATCAAAAGCCACACAGATCATAATGATAATGAGGAATCACAAAGTAGTGGTTTACTTACTCACTTGAAAGGGTTATTTGTCCTGGAGTAAACCATATTTGTCAGGGTGATATTTAGTAGTATTTAGACAGAAATATGCACAATCAAAACTAATTTGATGAAGTGATAGATAAACATCTCTAATAGTTCACATCAAACAAAACTTTTTTAGAAGCACACAATTTGTATCTAGAAGTTATACAAACGCTTCATAAATCTGTTGACTAAAACATTATCTATTCCATGCATAATTTGCAAAAGTGAAATGAAATAGAAGGCAAACATGAGTAATCTCTCTTTAAAGAACAAATAGGTTTGAAGAGTCAGAAGTACTAAATATCAACATTCTCAAGATGGATAGAAAATTAAGTTGGTTCCTGATTCCTAACAAACGCATGAGTATTCAAGCATTCATAAAATAAAGCTTACTGTGGTCAAAATGTAATCATAAATCCAGCTTATTATATTGTTAAGCAAATATTTTATTCACAAACAGAATAATATTTATGAGTACGAGAATGAAGTTACTTTAATTCATGCAGTATGCTTGAATTTGTTTATAATTGTGTTCGTGCAATCAAAAGTTGAATACATGTTACTGAAGTACCTTATGAACATGTAGAGCTAAAACAGCACAAGTTGAGAAAATTATATTTAGAAACAGGACATCTTTCAAAATTTAAGTAGACACATAGAATAAAAAAGCATATGTCAAAATGATTTCATCCCAATGTTCATTATGTTTAATATATATATATATATGTATATCAATTTCATTATTATTGTGTGAATAAACAAAATGAAATTAGACAATACTATTAATCGCTGCTACATTTTATTACTAGATACTTCGAACTGAACAATCCTTAGAAATTTAAATCCTTCTGACTAATTTCACTGTCTCTATCCAGCTAAAAAAAGCAGTAACTCTGTATGCTTTCCATACATATAACTAACAATGTTTTTCAAAATTATATAGATGATAAGATCACTCATAGCATTTTGGTTGATGATTTGTTGAGAATGACTATATCGTACACTTTATATGTTGACACTGTTGCAAAATGTTCCATGAAATACCCAAGTCAAGAGAATTCATAGCAATATTAGACTACAGTTCCAGGATATTAACTTCCTGACAAACCGACTTACGCTTGTTACCCCCAATCAGAATAGGCCGCCGACCAGTAAACTCCGACCTACCATATCCTGCGCCTTCCTTTCCAGTTCTGTCAAATTTCTGTTCATTCTTCTCATATTTGTCTCCGATTCTCGATGTAATGTGTTCCCTGGCCTTCCTCCTTTACTTCAACCCTGAGGGTTCCAAGAAGGGGCTTGTCTTGTGGCGCAGTTGGATGAGTTCCGCAACGTGTGTCCTATTAACCTCCAGCGCTTCTTTCTGATTTCCTGCTCCACTATAGTCTGGTTTCTTCTTTATCACAGTAGATTAGTGCTAATGGTGTCTGGCCAACGAATCTGGAGTATTTTTTTGTAAACAACTATTAATTAATACTTGTAACTTGTGGATGATAACCTTCGTGGTTCTCCATATCTTCGTCCCATACAGTAGAACTGTCTCAACATTTGTATTGAAAATTCTGATTCTGGCGTTGATTGTTAGTTGTTTTGAGTTCCTGATGTTTTTCAATATTATAGATGCTGTCCCAAAGAATTAACTTACTTTCTTGAGTATAAAACTTCATTGTATATAACTTTCAAACAATTATTATAAAATAAAATGTAAATGATTCAAAATAAGTATCTTGTAGGTGTATAAATAGTAAACAGAAAGATTATGGTGATGAGTGACATTTTCAGAAGAATAATTTTTTTAATCCTAAAAATGTAAGTTTCCATTTAGTTTTCAATCGAATCAATCGGTTAATGATTGAATGAGAAACTAGGACAATTAGGTTTGTCATTGAAGTTGAAAAGTGTGAAATAACGACATTCAAAAATCATCATGGATTCCTATTTTTAACAAAGGAATGGCCGCAGCTCATCCTAAAAAACATGAAACGAAAGATCACTCCAATGAATAACAATTAAATTTATCATTATCATTTTGAAAATTTCACAATATTTCACACATTCCATAAAAATATCACAGAAGTCATAATTTCTATTAGCGACTTCCATATGTTACCACTTGTATGTTGGGTATGAAATCAGATATGAAATTAATTTCAAATAAACCTAATATATTATGGGACTGTAAGTAGTTCATTTTTACTAAGAAAATAAAACTAATTACTCAGTTCACGACTAATAAATTCAATTATTATGACTTGACTGACTTTTAGCTTGTTAGAATGTGAGAGTTGAAGTAAATTGTTATCCATTATTCCATTCTTAAAAAAATTGTTTTCGCATTAAAAAAAATGAATTAAAGTTAGTAGAATGACATTACAAATGATTTACGCTATGTTCAGAAATTCCATTTTGTACTTATTCAATTATTAACAATATATTATTTTCTTTTTCTCATAATTATGACAAATCCATTGAGTATTTAGTTGAATTGTAATTAACAAGTTCAACTTCGACAAATTTTTATTGAACGATATTCTAATTCTCTTTTTACAAATTTATTTCATTCACCTCACTTTATAAACACTTGATAAATTAACAACAGATAAATTCATTTGTTAATCATTAATAGACTAGGAAATATCAAAACAAAAAAAAGTAAAATAAAATTAATCGGTAGATATAATTACTATTACAACTAATAATAATAATAATATTTTCTGAATAATATTCAGTATGTACAACGCTGAATGATGTTACTGTTGTTTATAGCCTGTTTAATTATATGCATGGATTCTGAACAAAAAGCTTATTGAATAAATGTTCAAGCTTTTTTTCATGTTTTTTTTTTGAAGAAATGAAGTAACATAGGAATTTAAAGACAATGATGACTTTCTTGTTTTTCCAGTTTTTGATGTTAATACAATTACTAATTACACTGATATTTACACATAATTGTGTCAATAAAAAACGAAAATGTTTAAAATGCAGTGTTTTTCTCATTCATGGCAGTTCTATTAGTTAGTATACCTCGCAATGGTGGCATTTTCGGAGGCGGACGCTCTAAATCAACCTCATCATGATAGTTACCACTTTTCAAAATCACATCTGGTGGTTTATGTGTTGGAGTTGTTGTTATTTTATTTGATAGGGCATTATTATCAATTTCATTTAAATGAGGTTCATTATTTGGTGTTCGAAAATTCTGAGGCGGATCAATAAGTGGAACAGCAAGACTCTCAACTGATGCATTACCTAGTGAATTATATTTTTGAATGATTGCATTAAAATCGTTCGATTTGAAATTTCTATACTGTGGATTAATTTCGTCTATTTGTTGATTTGTTTCTTGTCGATAACATGATTGTTGTTTACAACTGGATTTTCTTATTAAATATGAATCATTGTATGTGTTATCGTTTGTTAATGTCATAGATGCATATTTTTGAGGATTTAGATGAATCTGATTAAATGACTTCATTTTACATTCTAATGTGGATTTAAGAGGTGAATTGGTTGTTTCGTCTCCTGGATTATTTTCAGTATATTTGTCATAATTTTCAAGTGATTCAACACAGTTATCGGTATCAGTGAAATTATTATTAGTTTTATTATTATTGATACGTTGTTGATAATCAGTTCGATCATAGAAATTACTAGACGGTGATCTTATCACACCTTTTTCTGTTTGATCTTGAGTTCTTAAATTTATTGATTTTAGTTCATATGGACAATTATCAGTTAGAATATTACCATTATTATTAATAATTTTATTATAAAATTGATGATCGTTCATATTGTCATAATCAAATTTTCTGTCTCTTTTTAAAAATCCATGAATAAGATTTGATTTTGTAGTTATTTCTTTACTATAATCGCTTATTTCATTGCCTGCATCACATACACGTCCTGTTGAACTACTGTTTATTGATTGTGATGCATGTATATAACTTAAATTACATAAATTATTTGTAGTATAAATGTTTTCTTCTACTATATTTGGTGTTAAATCTGATCGAAATTTCGGATCTGATTGAGGTGATGCGTGATATTCATAATGAATACTGTTAATTGATGATGTTGGTAAAAAGTCATTTGTTGTACTTCTAGAGTTTCCGCTATTTACTGTTTGTGTACTTAGGGGTAGATGTGTATAATTAATATCATTTGATAAATCCAATGGACATACATTGAACATGCACTGAATAAAAAAAAACAAAATAACTTTTTTTTAGAAATAATAGCAATAATCTATAGTTAGATATTAAAATGAGGTAATAAATTACATGAACAAACTGTTAGCTTAGAAATGATTATCTATAGAACACCATGGAACAGATTAATTGCGAGTTATTTGAAAAGAACTTGTGGGTTAATCATTGGGGAAAGCATCCCTTACGAAACCATTACTTATACAATCTGTAATGTATTAGTTATTAGATAAGACTGATTGAAGTTAGATTTTTACACCGTTGGATGCTGACCTATTGGTCTAGAGGTTAAGCGTTAGCGAGCGAGACTGAAGATCTTTGGTTCAAATTCCGCGTGTGAGAGTTATAGATCCACAGCGCTGAGGAATCCCACTTTAGGATGAAACGCCCGTCTATTTCTTCCAGGTTTTTAATGGTGGTCTAGCGTAGATTACTTCGTGATTTTAACAAAGAAAACTGATTTAGACGTAATAATGATCATTTCAGCTTAAATTTTCAAAACTAACCTGCTGAAATGTTTATTTAAAAAGATATGGTAATTATTCTCTTGAAATCGATATTATTTATCGAGATTTTTCAAACGTTTCTCTAGCCAGACAATTATGTTCGTTTGAAGTTACCATCATAAACGTTATTATAACTATTATTTCAATTAATCTAACAATATTATTTCTACTAAACATTTTGTTCGCATAATTTAGTTTATTATATAGATGGTAACTCAGCTTTTCACGATGAAGTTCTAAAAACTTTTTTAAGTGACTCAAATTTACAAACGACAAAAATAAAACTTATTTCAATAAAAGATCACTGGTTCAACATATAAAATCAAATATTCACGCTATATTCTAGTCATTTCAATAGACAGATCATGGTATTGTCACTATGGGATTGCTTGAATTGTTGGATTTCTCTGAAATGATAAAGCGAGCAATGTTCGATCACCATTGAAAACCTGAAAAGACTAGACGGCAGTATTGCTCTAGTATGGGGATCAAAAGTAAACATTCACGACACTATTTTTGATGCCGTATTGCGACGCTGCGTAGTGTGGTATTAACAATACGTTGAAAAATAGAAGCTTACCTTGTTCTTTAGTTATCAATATCAAAATTGGTCACAGTAGTTTTAAATAAATTGAGCATTGGGTGGAAACTTGATGATGATGATGATGATGATAATATAATTACTGATATATTTATGAGCATATATAAAATTGTTATATAGTGATGGTGTCTAATATATGTGTTTCAGGATTTGTTGACTTCATGTCCCTGAATCTTAGAATAAGAAGATATTACAAGTCATTTTTAAACTTATTAACTATTTATTAAAACATTGCCTTAATAGCCACAATCTGTTTCATGGAATGTAGTTTAAACTAGCATGCGCTCACATATAGTTGGTTAGTCCAGGTTATGTATTTCTGATATTAAGTATACAAGCAAAGTGAGTCACTTAAACGTTAGTCTTTCTCATGACAGGCATTAATAAATGAGTTTCAAATTATCTTAACTTGCCATGTTATGATTGAAATGAGTTTAAAATATGCTTTGATTTCAGTAGTTGAAGAACTTCCATAAAATACGTGGAACCAAAGAACACGTGAACACACTTGTTTTTAACAACTTTATCTTCAAACCATGTAACAAGAAATCTTTACAATGCATACACATAAGTTATAACTAATGTATTCATTGTTATACCTGAGATATATCATTAGTAATGCTAATGGGAAGAGCTAAGAAGAGTTATCGTGAGCTGGTGAGTCATAATTAGATTTGTAGGATTTTTTAAATTAAGCAGATTATAGGGAAAATTATAAGTCATAATAATTGTGACAGTAGTAACAATAAAATCACAAGGAGTGAAAACCAAAACTTTTTACAAATTCCATGTGGTATAGAAATAGACATGTAGAGGAGTTGGTGATGCAAATCTCTGCTGTATTGATAAGTCGTGTAAGTTAGCTGATTATGACTCAAGGTAAGTAGAAATTCTTCATCTGATCTGACTGGCCTATCCAAAGGAATCTATATCTCATTTTTTTAATAGATAATTGGTAACTTGTCAAGAAACTGATAGTGTTAATATTCCACCGGGTGAGAAACACTGTAACTATCCATGATCAATTTACACAAGACTAGTGATCGGCAAAAGGAAGTAAGCATTCCAAGAATCTATATCCTTTTAACTTTCATTCTTTTCTCAACAGACCGCCAATCACAATGTCTTGGGTTGTGCTTTTCTGTACTGTGTGAAGAGATTGTTTGTAAATCTTTTATATACCCGTCTGAATAAATTATGCAATTAATAGACATACTTGACGTGCTAACACAAACAAAAATAGGTCTCGTTTTGAAATATTTTGATGTAAGGAAACACCTAGCCTAAACTGTCAAGCAAGCTGCCATATTGCAGTCTAGTAAGATAGTACTATCTGCCTATGAACTTTATTCTTTCACGATAAATAACTGTTCAGTGTGAATTATAGAACTGGCTCCTTTATATTATTCGCTAATACAAGTAAGGTTAATTGTTGGTCAAGTAAATTTTAATTTACGTAACCAACCGTTCACATCAGCCAGTGGTCGGGAAATAACATAGTTCTGAAAAAAGCAATACAGTTGCGCTAACATATTCCATTGTGCCATCGAATATGAGTACTTTGCTTAAACAAGGCATTATAAACATGCTGAAAACAGTACTTCTATAAAATGTTTTTGTTTTTTTAAATATTCAAAATTTGCAGTTGTTCAGTCAGTTAGTTCAGTTATTTTTTTATGAAGTATTAAAAAAAGACATTGATCGGTTTTTAATGCATAAACTCACTGAGGGTTGATTCAGTGTAGGTGTTACTATTTTCATGGTATACAAATCAGAAGAGTTCTGATGATTTCCAGTTATACAACATGATTTGCCGTCGAAATAATCATGGTGCACAGCACAAATATTTATATTTCCTGTTGTATTAGCATTTATACGGCATTGACAATTCTCATTATGATATTTGTGTAGGTCATTCAGTATAGAACATGGATTTGTTGGTAGTTTACAAGCAGGACATAGAAATTTCATATCGTTTGACAAAGATATGTCTGAAATGGATACATTATGTAATGTTTTTGAATTTATTGTTGACCACTTATCATTTGAATGAGTAAAACAAATTGTTGAGCATTCATTTGACTTTGTCGTATGTTGTGATTTAATTTCAGTATTTCGTATGCTATATTTATGACGTAAAAATATAACTATAAATATGATACTTAGAAGAATCAATAAACCAACGCCAAAACCAATCAGCGACGATTGCAAAATAGATGGACCAAATGACTGTATATATGGTTCATGGCTTTTATCGAATAATTGATTTGTTT